CGAAATGGGGGAAAATGTGGTGAAAAGTCATTTTAAATGTTTTGATTTTCAAAAGACGTTTCATAGCAGAGATGTTTTCTGTACTCTCAGCCTGGCAGTTCATTATTTTGCCGTTTATTCAGTTTTGGGGAGTTTAATAGGCAAACCTCAACGGCGACGAGTACAATGGCTGTGTAACCGTGCGTTATAATCCTTTGTTTATTTCCTTTGCCGTTCTCTGCAAAACAACAACTGAAATAGCCAGATTCTGCATATTTGAGAAAACGTGAACTACGACGGCCAATATTTTAAATTTCTTTTTCGCTTACAGAGTGTTTGGGATATTTCTGACAGTGATATACAAACTGAATGAATCTGAATTCTCGCGAGAATATGCCGTTTGCTGCTTGGGCGGCGAACTTCTCTTTGCACTTTCGACCATCTGTTTGTTCAGCTGCGTTGTGTCTGGGCTTTTGCTTGCTTTGTCGTTTGCCTACTCATTTCTCTGCCGTTCATTCAGTTGTTTTTGTTTGGGCAGGGAATATCTGCCTCTTATTTAAACTCCTATTAAAGCCTCGAAATGTATTAAAACACCGAGAGGCGAAGCTCTTTTGCTTGTAATTAAAATATCAAAGACATCCCCACACCGTTGGAGGTTTTCCTTTGCTTAGAAACGAAAAGAAACGAAACATTAACAAATCCTCCGAGAAAACATCCACGCAGCGCGCGTGTAACATCCGATGGAGAACTGGGTACCATGTCTAAAAATAACTTAAGAGGGATTACCTTGGGTATAAGGTCTATATGGGGGATTCACTCTCTTACCTTGATAATCTCTTGGTTTACCAGATTCTGGCCGCGCGAAACTTCTAGAATGCAGAAAACTCTTCGGTCGCACGGCAGCGCCTGCTGTACCTCTAAATACCCCCCCCGTCCACACTACGCCGGAGGAATTTGAAAACGGAGGTTTCACGCTGAAACCCCATCAAATGTTTTCTGTCCACACTACGGGGGAGGAATTTGAAAACGGAGGTTCAACTCTGAAAACGCATCAAATGTTTTCCGTCCAAGCTACGCCGGAGGAATTTGAAAACGGAGGTTTCACTCTGAAAACGCATCAAATGTTTTCTGTCCACACTACGCCGGAGGAATTTGAAAACGCAACAATCACCGGTTATTTTGGATTTGTGTTTGAGGAAACTCGGGAAGGGAAATCACGTGATTATCGTGAGGTTATCGTTTCCGGAAAGCTTCGTTTTCAAAATGTTTTTCTTCCCACACGAAAACGAAAAGCCGACATTTTTAAATTCCTCCACTTTGAAGAGCGTTATCGAAAAGCTCCGTTTTGAAAATGTTTTCTGTCCACACGAAAACGAAAAGCCGGCGTTTTTAAATTCCTTCGGTTTGAGGAGCGTTTTCAAAAAGCTCCTTTTTCGTGACAGATTAGTGTCGACGGTTGGCCTAACCGTAGAAATAAAGCTGCGTTTTCAAATTCCTCCGGCTCAGTGTGGACGGACCCTGTCTGGAACATTGTTCCTTTCAATTCAAGTTGTTCAAACTCCATTAGACAGCTGCGCCCTCTTTAACTCCCCAAGTCCAATTGTAAATTCTCCGTACTACAGGTACTGCTTCTAAAAGTGTTCCGTCAACTCCCATCTTCCACATCTAAATTCTCCATACTAAACGTTGATACGTTTTCTATAAATTTCCTTCAGAGAATCCGGTGTCAAGGGGTAACACTGTTTCTGAAATGATCAGGTTCTTAATGCTCACTACCCATGCAGCTGAATTTGTGATAAAAATGTAGGCACAAATTAGAGG